AGTCAACTTTCTTCACAATAGCGAGCAAGAGGCTGTGTTTGGGATTTGTGCTCAGAAGAAAGCTGATAACAGTGATGTTTATGCGGCTGCCAAGGTCTTTCAGCTTCTCTGGCTGTCTGCAAACAGGAGAAGCTGGGAGGGAGCACAGCCCCAGTTACCAGCCCAGGATTTGATCTTAGGTTCAAGATCGAGACCCAGAGTGGCCAATAATCTATTCCATAACATACACATCATGCCCAGTATAGAGGTGAGGACCCTCCAGTCTGGTTCCGGATCTCTTTTGCTCTGGGTCATCTCGCTCCAGGTGGTCGCTCTCCCAAGGCCTTCCCCCCACACCCCGGTCAGCTCTGGGTCTGGGACGCTCGGACTGTTCTCTCCGTTCCGTGAGTGCGGGTTCGGGACTCTCCCTGCTCTGGGATCGTTAGCCGGGAACAGGCTGAGCCTTGGTCATCTTGGTCATCGGGTCGGGGGGCAGTGTCACTGTGTGTCACTCATTTGTATATTTGTATATAGTATTATTTCCAATATTCTTGTAGTTTGGTTATTAAATTGTTCTTATCTCAACCCACGAGTCCTTTTTTCCCTTTACCCCTTTAATTCTCTCCCCTATCCTCGGGTGGGGAGGGTGGGGGGATTGGGTGGTGTGTGTGGTTTGACCCCCAGCCAAGGGCAAACCCATCACACTAGGAAATTTTAGAAGACTGGCTGAAGTTTGCCAGCGCTGGAATGACCTGTATGCCATTACCCTCGTGTTTATTCTGGGAAGAATTTTAGCAATACTGATACATTATTTGATTAAGAAATAACTAAAGGTTAGGCATATAATTAATGCCACTCAGCTTTTGTTTATGGCAAGTACAGTAAGTTCTCTCAAACAATCTTTTCTTAAGATGAGGAGCAGGAGGAGGGTTTTTCAGTAGGATCAGTCATGCTCTGTGGGTAATGAAACCTTTTATTTCTTATACTACAGTACCTGTAATGCTTGCACTGGCACAAGTGTTTTGTGAACTTGTGCTCACGGCTGGGCACGCCGTTTCGTTTCTTACGTTTGCCTTACCTGGGGCGTAACACGGATGTGCAAGCATCTGACTGCTTAGATGGAATTGATGATGAGTTCTTATTAAAGGCTGTGTAATGCCAGGAATGTTTTGTATGCAGAAGAGTTAGAAGTTTGTGTTTGGATTGTATTATTAAGTAGCTTAGGAGATAAATAGATTCCACTGTCTGTTCCCCTCACCACGAGAAGGACATTGAGGGGCTGGAGCAGGTCCAGAGAAGGGCAGCAAAGCTGGGGAAGGGTCTGGAGCACCGTGCTGACGAGGAGCAGCTGAGGGAGCTGGGGGGGTTAGTCTGGAGAAGAGGAGGCTGAGAGGAGACCTCATCACTCTCTACAACTGCCTGAAAGGAGGGTGCAGTGAGGTGGGTGCTGGGCTCTGCTCTAAAGGAACAAGTGACGGGACAAGAGGAAACGGCCTCAAGTTGCACCAGGGGAGGTTTAGGCTGGAGATTAGAAAAAATTTCTTCACTGCAAGAGTGATCAGGCATTGGAACAGGCTGCCCAGGGCAGTGGTGGAGTCACCATCCCTGGAGGGGGTCAAGAAACGTGTAGATGTGGTGCTTCAGGACATGGGTTAGTGGGTTGGGTGGTGCTGGGTTGACGGTTGGACTTGATGTTCCTTGAGGCCTTTTCCAGACTTAATGATTCTGTGATTCTATGACTTCCCATCTGAAGTTGACAACAGCTCCATTAGAGAAGTTCTGACCTGACACGCGTGCAACAGGTCTGATTTTGGGGAGACTAAAATAGCAAATCAGCGGTCTTTCCCAGGCCAGCAGCAGAGAAAATAAAAGGGATAGTGGAAAGGAGCTGTAGTGTTAAAAACTCAGTGTTTCCGTGATGTTTCCACTGGATGGAGTCATAGCGGTGGAAGTTTGACAACAGACTCTGGAGACCCTATCAGTCCCTCCTTTATTTTTGTCAACAGGATTTGGCATCGCTGTTGAGCGTGCTGAGGGTGCTGTCTGTGCTGTTGTCCCTGGTTTTCATGAAGTTATTAAACAGGACTGGTGCTACTGACAGTGGCTGGTTTGGAGCTGGTCTGAGGGAGGATGGAGCCAACTCTTGAGTCATCTCAGTCTGTTCCTTTTGGTGTGTGGGATTTAACAGAGGAAATCATTCGCCATTTCTAGGCTAGGATTTGCTAGGAGTCCTTCACACCTTTCGCTCCTAAACTTTGCCCTGAGGTCCGAAATCTTGGACCGTGGCATGTTCCAACCTTGCTCCATTCCCTGACTTTTCCGTTGGCCTTCATCTGGTGTGGTGCAATGAACGGAAGGCCTTGGGCATGCACCAAATGTTTTGTGCTTTCCTGAGAAACCCCGAGCCTGCGGGGCTGCTGATGATAAGATTCCTGCGTGCATGTAGCTGAGCACCATTTTAAGGGATTAAATTTCTAGAGCCCTCATGTCGTGGTTGGTTTTGTAGGCAAATGATGGCTCACAGAAGTGCTCCAGCCCATCTCCACAGGGCTCCTCGCTGCGCTTCGCAGTGTGCTCAGTCTTCTTTTTGTCTCGTTGCAGGATGTGCGTGTGATGGGTTTGCCCTTGGCTCGGGGCCAAGCCACACTCACCTGCTCACACAGTTCCCGCCCCCACCCAATGATAGGGGAGAGAATTAAAGGGGTAAATGGAAAAGAGGACTTGTGGGTTGAGATAAGGACAATTTAATAACTAAACTACAATAATATTGAAAATAATACTATATACAAATGAGTGATACACAGTGATAC